AGATGTGCAAGAACACCTTAAAGCGAATGGAAAAGTGGGCAGTACGCGCGGCTATTCTCGAAACCTACCTAGCGCCAACATTTCCAATACGTCAACTTCTTCCGTACCCATATCTTCTAAAGATACTAAGAAGGAAGGATTGAACATAACAAGTACCGAGAGCTCAATGGAAGGTCTTTCGTCATCTCGGAGCAGCGGCTCTCGTATGTCACCTACACCTCACCTCGTCGATATATCTTGCTTACAGTCTGGCAGCTTATAACCCGGCTCTTACAATACGTGCTGAATCTCCCTGTCCGAACAATATTGGCCGCGATGGCGCTGCTATGTCGAGTCTACTCAGCGACAACACATACGAGCCAGCGAACAATGAGGTGATTGAGAATAATCCTGACCGACTATGGTACGACATGAAGCCCACGGCTCAGTTGCGCGTTCAGGCCCAGGGGGCACTTCTGAGTTTGGCTCCTCACAATATTCGCTACAATGAATTGGTGAGAGAAGGCATTGACCCTCTTGTTCTTCGTCAACTTTACGAGGACGTTGGCATCAAAATTCCTACTCCGCAACCTGATGTCGAGTCAAACTCACCCGCTTCTGCAGGGCACGGTCTAGATCAACCAGTTGTCAAGGTTGCGGCTTCACCGAAGGGTGCTGCGCAGCAAGACCCTATGAATGTTGTTGTCTCTCCTCCGCCATCCACACAGCAGGCTGTAACGGGAAAACCAATGGAGCGGAAGGAAGTCATCGCCCGCATGCTTGCGGCGAAGGCGGCCAAGACCTCCACATCCACGCCGTCACAGACCGAAGCTGCAAAAGAAACCATACCTTCTTCGAGCTCGAATTTGCCTGATGCCGGCAAAACGACGACACTTCCCTCACGCGATGCTCCGATGCTAGAGAAGGAAGCGCGCGTGAAGGAGAAGAATAAAGCACAAACCGAACTCGCCAGACAAAGAATCGAACAACTCAAGAAACAAGGGTTAATGAGGACTTTGCAGAAGTCGCAGCCAGATTCAACGGCATCTGAGCCAAATGAAGAGCACACCTACAATGCAGATACCACACAGCCCACGAACTTGACTCCAATTCAGCACCCTTTGCCTGAGCGCCCGCCGGACCCAGAACTCTCACCCCAATCTCGTATTCCAGGGCTTTTCATGACCGAAAGCCAGGAACCGGCCATAACGGAAGAGTCGAATGCTGCGCCTGTTCAGCATGTTGCCGATACAGATGCCCACACACGCACCAATCAGCGCAAGAGACCGCGAGCTTCTGACTTTGACGAACCCATTCCCATGCCCAAAAAGTCATTCGGTAACGGGTCAAATCACGTCGCTGCTGAACCTGCGAGGCTTATTATCGACATCAGCGACGATGAGTTTTATGGGGATGACGAGAATGATAGCATGGACGTTGATACACTGGCAGGAAACGTATCGCAGGATGTTGAGAGACTTCTCCGGAGCACTCCGATGACCACGGATTCGTTACCTCAGCGGCCAGCAACATCACTCAGTCAGGGGTTCTCTACGTCGGTGACTCCCAATGGACGGAATTACGATCAAGAGCATCAGGAGCATCTTCGCCGTAAGGACTTGGAAATCAAGGCGATGCACCGTCGGATTGCCGAGCTTGAGGAACGGAAAAAGGCGAAGCTAGCAGCTAGTCGCACCCAGTCCCCTCGTGCTCTGGATCTGCCAACGCCGCCTGTTGATTCAGTGACGGCCAATGTCGCCATCCATGAGAACACCAATCTAAATCAGGTGCCCAAGCTAAACGAGGCGACTTCCAAGCTGATAAATCAATCATCTTCACTCCCCAAAGATGCTCTCAAACTAGAGGAGATGAGAGCCAAACTGCTGCGGAAGCAGGAAATCGAGTCTGGTATCCCTGCCCTGGATCACGAAATAAACAAGTCCGAGGCAAGGCTGGCCGAGGTGAATCAGGAGCAGAATTCTCTTTTATCTCAAATCACCAAGGGAAAAGAAGGTCGCCAGCAGCTTTTACATGAATTGAAAGCTCTTGGCCAGGAGTTGCAGGACGTGACACTTGATGACATAGAGTTAGCCCTCCGCCAAGTGCAGACTGAAGAACCCGCAGATGCAGAAGTCATCGGTAAGTCGTACTTGTATTTATGTCATTCTTGCGAAATCGAGGATTGACGCTGATTGAACCGTGCTCAGCAACTACCCATGAATTGCCTCCTCGGCCTATCACAGATCAGGTTCCCGAGGCAACAAATGCCCAAGTGCCCGTACATAACGAAGGTGTACCCGCTACTGACTATGTATCTGCTTCGGACGCCGCGGTATCCAATGCGGAACATGAGAAAGATACTGTCATGGACGATGCTGACGAAGAGCAAATGGCTACTTCATCGTCTGATTCGATGAGCTCGTCGATGGACGAATCCAGCGATAGCGATAGCGAAAGCGACGATTCCGCGTCGGTCGCGTCGGAAGAATCAGTAGCCAGAAGCTCTGCGCCAGCCACTGCCGAGACCGAGACTCAGAACGACCGAACTCAAGAGACTGAGCAGGAAACCCCGGCCGAGTCGGATTTGGATGGCTCCTCGCTAAAGCAATCGCACCTCACTAATGCTGAATCCCAGGTCAATGTTACGTCTGATGAACATATGGAGGGATCAGCACCTGAAGTACAGGACCGAGGATCTCGTGAATCGTCTGTATCGGACGCTTATGAGCCTCCCGAGCCAGAATTGACTGCAAGCCCAGCCGGTTCCGCTTACTCACCCCCTTTTAGTCCTGCTTCTCCTGCTCCTATTGAGCCTACCGACGACTCTGAATTTCCATCGAACGAGGTTACCAAGGCTAGCGAGCCGCTAACTGAGAATGACCAGGGCTTGGCTGTTCACCAACCACGAAGTTTTGCTCGAATCAGCCCTTTGGATGTGCGAGGCTCCTCAGTCACGGCCAGTAACCTGATGCTAATGAGTAGTAGAATGAGCGGGATCCCTATGACAGCCTTACCACATTCACGCAATACGATAGTCCACTAAAGCATTTCAAGGCTTACCGCTACCACCCAAGCTACGTTGAAAATGTTGCAAACGGCTATCGTTCTCTGACATATAGCCACAACATTGACCCCATGAAATACCTGTGTCCGTTTGAGGTCGCGGGGGGTGTCTGCAACGATCGATCTTGCGAATTTCAACACTTCCGAGACATGTCTCTTAGCGGTGCGTCGACAGATTCAAGCCATCATTCACAGACATATCCCTTGATGATCTGAACATTGACTTTGCCATCTCTGGCTCTGGTTATTTGTGTCAATCTTCCCATGACCCCTTTCCTTCGCACCACATCTCTCTGCTGTTGTTCTCTCAGTCCCTTGATCCCCTGTCGTGACTCGATTTGTTGGTCGGATTTGCATTGTGCGGATGCTGACGCACAGGCTTGTTAACCTCGACAGATGACAAAATCTTGGTCCAAATGGGCTCTCTTCGCGAGGGCAAAACCCCCGAAGAGAAAGACGAATACATTGCCGGACTGAAGCAGATCATCAACGACATGCGACGCGACAAGGTGAAAGACTTTAGCACCGTGGCTGCGGAAATAGCCGCATACCGTAGACGCTTCCTCCAAGACCCTTCGCGGATCTTGCCATTGTAACCCCTGACATGGAACGTGCGACAGTCAAGATTACTCATTCTTTGAACAAGGTGAGGTGCGATGCATCGTGCACTCAGCACTCAGGAGCTGTGCAGGTAGATTTCTGCTGCTTGCTGTGCCAGCATCGAGCTATATCTGAAAACCTTTCCCTTTCTTCTTTTTCTTCCTCATCACCTCCACCATCTTCACCATGGACAAGCAACCCCGGCTTTCCTCTTTTTGAACGTTTGAGATCTGGCATCTCTTATTGAGCGAGAGCGACTTCCAGGGCAACCGCGCTGTTATCTTATCTACTCTTTTCTTCTTTTTTGCGGTTTGGCATACAAAAGCACGAGCCCGGCGTTGGACGGAATCATCTTCTCTTCACCTTGTTTTTACCTCTAAACGAAGTGGGCGTAAAGCAACTTTCCCACGTTACGACACGACCGCAAGCCTGGAGACTTAGGGCCTGACTTAGCGAGGGTGATGGCAACGCCAGTAGTTGACCAGGTCTTCCAACGGTATGGGATGCGGCCGGTCCTATACAGTCCGATGTCATAGGGCTGTGCAGACAGCGGGGTTCATAGGAAAGAAGTACAGTACAGTACAGTACATACATAGTTTCTATTGAGATTTTGATTTTTCACCCCTCGGAAAGAGAATCCTCGTATGTACTCTGCCTTGTGTCTGAAGGAGCTAGGAGCTTCCTAAGCGATCCCCCTCCCCCTCTCCAGAGCCTTATGCTAGTTCGCAAACCAAGGAATGCACGCAAGCTACGTCAGTCCCACCTGGATCAAGTCGACTAACAAGCGACACAGCCGCCTTCGCGTGGAGCGCCCGCTAGGCGTCTAGCGATAGATTCCCTTAGCAAGTAGTCTAGCGGTAGACTACTATCTACACCTTGGCATTCAAAAAGGAGGGAACCCACCCTGCAACCACCCGGGCATGCTAGTCTAGGGGGGTTGTACGCAAAGAAAAGCGCCCAGCGAGTAGTCTAGGTGCCGCAGTGCCGCAGTGCCGCAGTGCCTCGTGGAGCCCAGACACACAGCCAGAGCTGCTGCTGCTGCTGCTGCTGCTGCCCGCCCTAGAATCCAGGAACATGGAGATTCATGGATGCATGCATGGGTCCCGGGCGCGACGCCCTCGGGTAGGTTGGTGCCCCAGGCTTCCCCATCCCCCTTCCCCGTTTGTCCAAGGCACAACCGCACCGACCGTCCCCTATCGAATCTTCTGAAGTTCGGCGGTATATGTGATGAATTCGGGAATCCCCGAGGGCATTGCATAGTACCTTACTACATACATACAGCAACTACGGAGTATCTGGCTAGTAGTCGAGTCCACGTAACCTGTCGGGCGCAGAGAATGGAAAGGAAAAACCCCTCACCCACACTCACCCGCACCCGCACCCGCACCCACGGTCACTCCGGTCCCGCAACTGACGTTCAGCATTTTGTATATGTAGTATACACTCTTCATCTACATAAAAAGAAGACTGGGAGAAAAGGGGGGGACGACAAAAGAGGGATTGTGGCAGTGTTTTTGAAACCTACCTACTTCCCACAAACACAAACACAAACACAACTACAATGACCCGGCTATCGTGCACGCTAGCTAGCCGCGTTGCGTTGCGTTGCGTCGCGTTGCACTAAAGTTGACTCAGGGAGGAGTCGAGTGAGTGCACGGCTAGCTACATCACTTTGTGATTGATTGATTGAGCGAAGGGAACTACTCCGTCGAGATGCCAGGGAAGGTCGGTTATGCAGGTTTGTTCCTCTTGTTGAGTCATCTGTGATCCTGTGACCGTGGCCTGGGGTTCTGTGACTCAGGCACACAGGAAGATGAGGGTTGCTTGCGCATGTTTTGCTGTTGTCGTCATTTCTGTCGCTTGTTTGGAGGTTTGGTTGGTTGGTTGGTCGGTCGGTTGATGGTGCAGATGCTGGGGCTTGAGCTTGAGAGTTGGCCTTGAACGAGGCAGCTGATGCTCAGTTGTTGTGGTTTTTGTCTTAGATATAAATAAATATCTTGCAGGGAAAGGGGAAGTTGAGGGGTTGTGGTGTTGGGACAAGGGAAGAGGTGTATGTAGAAAGGAAAATGTGGGAAAGAAAATGTGAGACATGGTTGGGATGGTGGTGGTTGAGCTTGTGTTCGAACAACTTTCGTGGTTGATCGCAAAGATGCTGTAGACTAGGTAGACAACGACTGCGGAGGAACTATGGGGTTGGCCTGTCTACTATCTTGAGGCGTTCTGTATAACCTCAACATCAATGACAGCAACCACGAGAATAGAAGCTCGTAAAGATGGGGGCAGTAAAAGAAGAGAATAGGAAACCACGTGGAACTGCGTGAAGTGACACGACATGATTAGCGATCATTTGGAATGGGTGATATCTCAATATGGAGAAATGCAGCGCCATGACGGAGTTGACGAGTTGTACTGTACGGTGTACACAGGAGGAGCATCGCATGGCGGGCGGGCGGGCGGGCGGGTAAACAGGCACTACATGTGGAGGAGGCACACCGCAGCTGAAACTGTCCTGTCCGCGGAACCTGCGTATCATGTACCGGCGGCGCGGCCCCCAAATAAAACGGTGGGTCGTCGACTCCAGTGGTGGGGTAACTTAACTGTTTCCTCTGCTCGGGAGGGCGAAGCCATACTTCATGATGATGATGATGATGATGATGCAGATTAGTAGGACTCGGGGATAATCTGAATCAATATTGCACATTCTGCCTCTCTCTTCACTACTCTTTCCTTCCCCTTCTTAGAATCCCGAAAGGTGTGTCTAATGGAGTAACTAGTAGTGCTGACAGGAGCGTCGAACACGCAGTTCCAGAAAAAGACTTCCTGTGCCTTGCGGTCGCGTGCAACGTGGTGGGCAGGGTATATTCTGCTTGGCGCAGCGGCTAAAGGGAGAAATATAAACATAGCAACAGTCCGTCAGACTGGATCAGGCTTAGTGGCGGATCGTTTTTCGATACCATCGAGTAAGGAACACAAATAGGATGACGGAGAAGAGAAGAGTTGCAGAAAGGACAAGAAGGAGGGAGGTCAGACGTCTTACACGGTAAGAATATAGTCGCGGGCTCGGAACCGCATTGCTTACCAGTTCGGGGATATTGGAGGTCGTACATGCAGTGATCACCGCAGGCAAGAGAAGACTCTGAAACCCACTAGAAGGTGTGTGTGTGTGTATGTGTGTGTGTGTGTGTGAGGGTGTGGATGTGAGCGTCAAGAAGATTTTTGGCCCCCTCGGGAATTGGTGAGCCATGAAGGAAAAAAACGTGGAAAGGAGCGTTAAGCCTAATCATATCAAGATCACACCATGTGGCTTTTCTCACCCATCAGCAAGCGGGCTTGTCTCGCACCGAGACACACCGTTTGACCCGTGTTCGGGATGAGCCAAAGGCTGTACTGTACGCGCATCTGGATCGATTGGACCGAAGCAACGAGAGAGGGTCTAAAGATATCATCAGCATAGTATTGAGAGAGAGAAAGAGACGGCCCCAAATGCATAGTAACCACGAGTCCCAGTTTACTATATGTTGACGACAACCAGGATATTGTCTATACTCCGGAGTTCCCAGCGAGCTGAACAGCGGGTACAGTCTACGCGAATGGGCCAATTGCAGCACAACAATGCGGGCTTTTAGTACACAACCGGTTCTGTCCCTAAGGCACCTACCTGGCACTACTACCTGGCAGGCTGTCTGTTGGTTGATACTTTCTATGAAAGCTGAACCTCAGATATGGAAAGAAGAGATTACCAGACTAAGTTAGCAGTGCGACCGCAACCAGGTCGGAGAAAATCGAATTCCCCCCAAATGACGATGGTCCACTTTTTTTTTATCCACCAAACCTAAAGTTCTACTCAGCCCTGCCGCCCATGACTCCTTTGGAATGCTTGGAAGCCAAAATTCGGGGCACACCTGTCATGCTTCCCGAGTCTCGTCTCTCTTGCCTGTGCTTACACTTTCCCCCCTCCGTATTCGACCACCGCTCAAACATACACACTACTGCAGCCAGTCATCGCGAGCTGAACCACACAAGAAATCCTGCGACCACAGACAGTCGCGAGACCGCCAGTTTCCCCCCAACCATAGGGTTAATTGCATACAGATACCGAGAGAAAGGGCGGTGGGATTTTGGTTGTTGTTTGCTTACTACCTGGTAAGTTAGTATCCCGGGTTGACGGTCATCGAGGTTGTGGCTGCATGATCTGCATTCCCATCCATGCTCCTTTCCCTCCCCTTGCCCTTAACCCCCCCCCTCCCATCTCCTAAGCCTCAGGCCCCCTCATCTAATCTATACCTTTTTCGCTTCCCCGACCTTGAAGGTCAGCCAGTCATAGCGAAATATATCCGTACCAAGACTTTTGCGGCTCGGCGAGAAAAAAAACAAACAAAATAAACATAAAAATAAAAATGAAATCCAAGTAAAGAGAAAAAAGGCTACACCATGCTGTTCTAAGATGCACACACATGCACGAGAAAATGATATTGCCCAAAAGAACAAGAAAAGGATACAGCAAACAGTTTGTGTACAACCCCCCATCATCTAAAAAAGTTCTGGAATACGGGGTTCGTCCCATCATCCATCCCATCCATCCATCATCGATCTGCATAGCCCAGATGGAAAGTTTCGGTTTCCCAATTTGGTTTATACACCACAAAAAAAAACATGATCCCAAAAACGTGCGGAATCATTACACAGTGCAGTGCAGTGCAGTGCAGTCCGCCCCAAGTTCTGTGTTGTGTTCCCATAGATGTTCAGGGGTTCCCCTTTGAATGTCTTCCAGGGCTGTGTGAAGGACAAAAAAAGCTGCGACTATAATTATTTTCTGCTTGGATCATTACACATTACACCAAAGTTCGGGAACCGGGTGCTTAGTATTCTAAGCCAGTCTGGTTGAACTACCCTGACAAATGTTAGATACGATCCGTTAGTTAAGCAAGCGGTTTTGGGGGGGGAAGCTTACAAATTCGCGAAACTGAAGCTTACAGTTCTTCCATTGGTATACCCATGTCTACTTGTCGTCATGGCCCGTGATCTGACCTGGCCGGACCCCGGGCCCGGCAAGTCTAAACTAGTCTCTCTGACAAATTTCGCCAGAAGGAATGAGTTATAGACGATAGTTTTAATGGCTCATGAGTAATGAACCGACCCTGCGGACTACGGAGTAAGTTTAGACAGAAGTCGATAACAGGCGATGGGAATGGAGGGTGAACTAGGGTTTCGGGTCCCTTCCCTCCCTACGCCAGGCAACAAGGCGTCTGTCTGTCTCTGACTCTCTGCCTACCAGAGATGCGGAACCAACGGGTACCTAGTACCCTAAAGCATAACTACGGTACAATATACTCATAGTACAATATAGTAGTCAACTCACTAAGTTGACTATTGATTTACTAGAGATCAACTGATGGTTAAAACGATAGAGAAGGTGTACATTGCTGTGACCCGAAAATTCTAGTCTGACAAATCTGTAGAAAAAAACAATATCACTCTATAACAAGAATCATAGAACACATAGAACAGAGGAGAGAAGGAGATCGTCAATTTAAACAAACAGAACAAAAATCTAAACCCCCACAAATCCACCACCGTAAACCAAGGCGTTCTTCGCGGCTGCACGACCGAGTAAGGCCCGCTTGCTCAATTTGGCAGCCGCCCCAGTCTAAGCCGTATATTTAGTACAGTTGCTCAGAAACAAAAATTCAGCCCAGAAAAATGACAAAAGAAGAAACCAGAAAAATAAAAAAAAAAGACAAAAGCTGACACTAGAAAATGTATCGTGGTATATGCACCCGCTCATGCAAGATCCATTAGAAATGGAAAAAGGAAAAGGAAAAGAAATATCGCAAAATGCAAACGGCCCGTGACTCCTGGTCATGTCTGTTTCATGTTTCATGCAACTCATGATGAGAAACGCTCAAAACGACGTCAGAAAATTAGAAAGTGATAATTCGGCCTCGAGACCATATAGCATAGCCTCTCTTGAGTTCTGCGCGCAAACGAGATGATTAGCCCTCTGACCACCGAGCTTGTTCCTGGTCGGCCTTACCTTCAACATCAAAACGTAGTCGTAGATCATTTCACCGGCGTGCAATTGGAGCAGGCGACGTGCTGGCACATCACACAACGGGGCTGGTTCTGGTACAGCTTTGGCCCATCGCCACACTGGCAGCAGAAGTACAGGTTCCCTCGCGTCTGCGCCCGATCCTCTGGAAGTCGCTGGCCGGCAAGGTCCTGCAGACGGGGTCGCCGTACGTCACCGAAGACTGATAGTGGCTGGGAGATCGGGTTTCGGCAGTCCATCATCGACGGCACGTGTCTGGGGGCGTCTAGTGAGTGTGCGCAGACTGAGTGTGCTGGAGTAGAAGGGTACGGCGACATCTCGTGGCAGCTGTGCAGCGACATATCGGCGTCGCGGTTGTCGACAGGGCAGCTGGGGCAGCGTGGCTCGCCGCACTGCAGGCACTCTGTGTGAAGATCGATCTGGTGAAGGCCGTGAAGGCAGGTGCAGCAGGTCCAAAAGCCAGGCATGGTTGAATGAAGAGGTTGATAGGTGACTAAGGTGTTGATAGTAGGTATGATGGTGGTAGGTAGTTGTGGTTGAAGTCAAGCTTGTATAGAAGCAGAGAGGCGAAGACAGCGGATGAGTTGCAAGTGTCAATGGGTCAGTAGGATGTATTGTGTGTAGGAAATAGAGATGAAGTCCATCCTGAGGACTGCGCCGCTGTATTTAAGCAATCTTAGGATGTTACAACAAGTGAGAAAGTGAAAGAGAGACGACGCTAACGATGATTCAGACAAGGCGTCCTGAACTGCCATTGTGGCTGATTCCACAAAACAATAAAAAATAATAAAAAAAAACAAAAGGCGCCCTTCAGAACTAGGCTTGTCTTCATCTCAGTCATAAGCAGGTGCTATACCTGATCAGAGCCCGGGGCCATTTCAGAGTCGATCATCGTCAAGGTGGCTTGGCAACTCTCGATTGCTTTTTGGGGAATGGGGGAAGGAAGGGGTAGGGTGGGTGTAGTGCAGTGCAGTGCAGTATCAAGTGGATTGGAGGGAAAAGCCGGGACCGTTTGGCGGTTCGAACTATCAGCTGTCGAGTGCTGTCAGTTTGAATCATTCTGGAATAGCTTGCATGGGAACATCGTAAGATATGCGCGCCAGTTGAGTCAAATCGACTTTCGCAAGGGTCCACCGGGTATCATCGCAGTAGCGGAATCCGGGCGAGCGAGGCTTGGAAAATGGAGGCTCGTTTTCGGTTGCCCGTCCACTCCGCCCGTCCTCCAGGCTTTCTCTCTCCGTACTAACTTACTGGTAGTAACTAGGTTACTGGTACCTAGTAACTATCCGTTCCTACTAACTTACTAACTGCTTTCTCGTTTTCCCCCCTGAGGAAACCCACTCAATACTCAAGGCTCAATTTACTTACACTCTCCTTTCATTATCTTCAATTTTATTTTTATTTCTATTTTCTTTCCAATTTAATTATATCAATTATTCATTTGATTTCAAATTTGCTTATTCTTCTCTATTCCTCTTACGACCTCCTGGTTACTCATCCATTCTTGGCTAGCAAGCAATTCATTTTGATAATCGCGCGCTGTGCTGTGCTGCCTGGCTGAGGCCTGGGAATGAGCTCCACTTGGTGGTCACCAGTGCCCGTGGATTCAGGCAACCTTGCCCAGAGATCGAGTTCTAGATGCGATGCGAAGCTCTGACTCTTACCGTCTATCTCCTTGGGTTTTAGGAGGATTCTCCTGCTTGCTCGTGACGATTTTGTCGGTCAACGAGCGGCGGGCTGTCTACGAATAAGCAGGCACCCGTGCTAGTTCTGCCTAAGCCATCAACGCCCGTCGTGTGGCACATGCCCTTTTGCAAATGACGTTTGGGAACCATCGCGATGACTGATCGCTCACTCGCGCTCATTGCTAACTTTGATTTTCTCCACGCTGTATTATTGCTAATGTTTCGATCGGTTTCCCATCGGACTTTTGTCCTTTGGCCCTGCCCTTGACTCTCAGTCATTACTGCTACTAGTATTGTTCGGAGTCCCCGACTTCGATCATGACGCTTGGCCTCTATAGCCCCTCGTGTCTGGTGTGCCTTGAAACCGACCAGCCCCAATTCTCTTCTTCACTGCTCAAAAGCCCAGTTGTAATGATCGCTTCTCATTCGACCTCTGCCCACTGGATGTTCCCATTGCCCCGGCTGGTTCTGGAAGCCTTACTCCAGACTTCAGCTCTACTTGTCACTATTACTCATAGTCAGATCACCGGTATGCCGTGGAATCGATTCCGTGTGACCCCTGGCAAACCGTTTTTCCTTTGCGCGTCATAGCTGGCAACTTCCACAGGGCTTGCCAAAGCAGGTTCTCAGCGTCCCCAGATATTCCATTACGACTATCTTCACTCACTCCCCCACTTCCAGCTCTCGAAGGATGTGATTATGGCTGTCAGGTACATAGGCTGCCACATGGATGAAACGTCCCCACAGTCTAAGACAATCCACGAGGAGAGGGATTTAGTTTGGCAGGCAAAAAAATTGAAGCCTTTGACCAGTGCGCGGATAGCGTGTGGCCGAGAGGACGGATCTTAGTACCGATCTAGGACAATCACTAGTTGAGCCGCACTAGACACGTGTGTCTCACGCTCGACAAACAAATGAGCGATTCCGGGGTTGCCGGCTTGAGCCTCGAGGTCATAACTCACATCCCGGTATTATGATATCGTCATGCATTGAGCTGGGTATTGGGGCCAAAGTTCATTGTTAGTCACTGAGGAGGCCATTCTATAGTATGAGACCGGTATAGCGCAGCAGATTTTCTTGAGAGAAAAATGAATGTAAGTAAGAGGTGGCTACGTAGTCAGTTGAAAAGGTGATTTGGAATGGGGCATCTATCAAAGTACTCCGTACTCGAGCGATAAGCCCTGTCATGTGACATGACATCATGAGCCGTGTTTGCCTGGTTTGCAAACCACGTGCTGGGTCGGAATCCGATCCCCAATCCCCAATCCATGATCATCTCCCCTCCTCCCCGTGCCATCCATCCTCGTTCATCAGGCACCGCCAGGGCAATTGCCTTCTATCTCTTCTATTCGGGTCTCGACTGTACATACCCATTGCCTGTCTAGACGCAAGAATATGGATACATTTGCAGGCTAGAGCGACCCCTGCCGACCCTGACAATTCTCCGATGCGGAGGTGCCTGCAACCCGTCTCGCGGTTAACTTCCAATGGCGCGGCCTGACAGGCGAATCAATCTAGCGGTCGCCAGGGCCATCCCTCCATTCTTACTATGTGTCTTTATATATGCATCCTATGCGGTCACCAAGCCCTTATGCAGTGAGTTACTTCAGACGAGAATCCGTTGGCTGATCTGGTTGACTAAGCGTTCCTATAGTCGACTATCTGATTCATCCCCTTTCCAAGTATGATCGCGACAGTCGCGCTGGCGCGGGAATCGCCATCCTCGTGATCTACTACGTCCTTCTCCTGCTCGTTCTGACAACATATTTCCGACTCTTGCATACCGTGACCTGGAATGCCGGGCTACTGCCGCGAAAAGCTCCCCCGCCAGCAGAGACTGAGCCTGCACCACCCCAGTCATCAGGTCGCCATCATCGAAAGAAGAAGAGACATCGACGGCATAGAAGTGTGGAAAAGGCCAACGCGATAGACAGGGATGTGGAGAGCGGGGCCGACTCGACCGCGGACGGGGACATGACTCCCTGGGATACACATGGGATGGAGACCTTTTACACCAAAGACGTTTTTGTTTGCCAGCCGGATGGCCGACCTTTGTACTGCTCCACATGTTGTCATTTCAAGCCTGATCGGACTCACCATTGTCGGGAGGTTGACCGATGTGTTCGCAAGATGGACCACTTCTGCCCTTGGTGAGGAAATCTTCCAGATATGCCTTGTCTATGTGGCAGTGCTAACTCAGCCTACAGGGTCGGAGGAGTGGTCTCTGAGACATCCTTCAAATTCTTCATTCAATTCGTGTTCTACACTGCGCTCTATTGCATTTTTTGCTTAATTGTTTGTGCAGTGTTTACTGCTGAGATCAAACGCCAGGTATGGTTGCGATGCAGCTGTAATTGGATTCTCCACTAACCTTTTTTTTCTGAACAGACTGGAGGGGCGAATCCTCATCTGGCTGTTGGAATTGGATTGTGAGTCTTTGTCTTCCGTCCCTCTTCACACCTTTCAACTGTACTAACATTACCATTTAGGAGCGGTTTCTTTGGACTTTTTACTTTTGGAATGACCCTCAGCTCTATGCAACTCGCCATGTTGAACTTGACGACGATCGAAAATATCAATCGTCAATCAGCCGTGTGGACCTTAGCCATTCGCGTGCCGAACCATCTGCTCGGTCGGCTCAATCCCGACTCTCGCTGGGCCCCGACCTTCCGCACCATCACGTACCCCTTACCCCCGATGCCCCTCACCCCCGAGGCCCAGAAGAACTATCAGCCGCCCGGGGAACAACACATCTTCGCAATTCTCCAAACCCTACCCGGAGAGAACCCATTCGACCTCGGGAGTCCCTTCAAGAACCTCCAGCAGGTGCTTGGCTTCAACATCATCGACTGGTTTGTGCCGCTCAAGCAGAGTCCGTGTGCCGTCCGTAAGGACTCCGACAGCTTTTTCGAATTTGGACCCGTGGTGTCGCGGCTGAAGCGAGAGGCCGGGCTTGAGAAGCCAGCTTTGGATGAGAGTCGTCCTTAATGAACCTGAGCTCGAAGTACGCCGAGCGCGAGAGACTGGCTTGGTCCTATAATACTTATGCCATTGCTTTGGTTTACGTTAATCTGAAGTTCAACCTGCGGCTTGGACTTTTTTTCTTATGCCTTCTTTTCTATTTTTCTTTTCTCTTTTCTTTCAGGTTAGACCTTGTCATGTTTAATTTGGTGGTCAGGCGCACCGGTCTTTTTGTTCTGTGTATAGAGCGCTCAAGGTTCCACTTCTACTCGGGCTAATCGAATTAATACTAGTTTGGCATGAGGAGTATATTTGTGGTCGTGTTGTATGATGAAGCATTCCCAATTTCCGTCGTAGAATTAGGTCCACGCTTGCCGAGATATATATCCTCGACATTCTCGTTGAGATATCCACCTCCAGTTCATCCATTTCAGAGCAGCCCCCCCCCCCAACTCTACTGAAGTATGAGCAGAGACCCTGCTAGTAGACACCCAATCATTCCCATCTCCCCTGACGACGCAGACGGAAAATGTACAGTTTACTCTGGTTGAGCTGGGGCTTTGTCAATCCGCGCCGGTGAAACTGCAGAGAAGCGGTGCAGTAGCTTAATGCACAGGATGCCTAGATCAAGAAACAAAGATCAGCCGAAAGAGAGACGAAACCGGACCAAGAAGCCCAAATCTTTATTCTGGATGACAGAATCACCAATCAGGTTGTGATACTAGACCTCCCGATGAGTATCAAGATAGGGAAAAAGTTAAGAAGAACAGATGCATGCATGGCATGGAATTGTAACAGAGTGCGAGTGCTAGTATCCCCCC